ACTCCTTGGTGATGGAGCAAATTCTCTCCTTTCCCAGAGAGAAAGGCGGGTGAAACTGGAGTTAGCCATTTTACTCTCTTTTTTGAGAAAAATCGCTCCCCTTTTTCTAAGAGTGTAGAAAGATTGAATGTATTTTGCATTTTGACGTGTTTGTCGATGGGACAGGACTTTTGACTCACCCTGTATATTTCTACTTCGCCACGTTTTCAGAGTCTGCATGATGCGTGATCAAGTGCTAATTAGTGCGAAAAGACCCTTACAAAACGTCCATCCCCAATCGACCTGGTCAAACAACCAGGTGGCTAGGGAGTGGATTTGGAACCAGGCGGGCGTCATGCCCCCAACCGGTGGAAATCCACGTTCCTTAGTACATAGAATGTGGATCTTTTCTTGAAATGTTTCATATTTAGCACACCCAAGGTGAAATTCCCTCTACATATGTACTATGTCTCCTACCGATGTGCTTCGTCCTGTTGATGGGAACGTCAGGGTAGAGAGATGAAGTACGAAATGAAGAATGAAACATTTCAATATTGGCCGAATATCGGTCCAGTTCAAGCCCAGTGAAGCCTATGCTATCCCGGGCAGTAATGTCAATATAGGCCCGGATTGGGTGCCAATGAAGCAACGTTTTCCATCAACATTGCAGCAACATAAGTCCTGAAACTTTTCTGCAACGTATATGTAATAAGTAAATAACGATTTCCAATGTCAATGCAATGTTCTTTTGGAACATTTGAGCAACGTTGACGTTTTGGACATTTACACATGGATGCAACATTGTTCATCAACATTTTTTAAACGTTGCTGGAAAATCTGGTGTTACTTAGTTTGTCCATTTGTTGACAATGTGTTCGTTTTGACCGCCTGCACTGAACATACTTTCCAATCCAGAAGATCGGCATGACCAATATAAAATTATTACGGGTCCTGCATCAGATTCAGAAGACACGACCGTCTATATCTGACTCGATCATAATCTGCGAAAGGTTTTCGGAAAGCCTTCGGAAACCCGTCGTTAGCTCCAGCTTCAGCTGCAGATGAGTAAGAGATGTATCTTTTTTCCTCTGTTTCCTCGCGTGCGATGCATGACAACCAGTTGGGAAAGGCAAGGTCAACTGGACCTTGGTTGACGTGACTGGGAGTCCCTCGTGTTGCTTAGTCGATAGATGCATTATCTTTCTCATGATCGTGATAAGGGGAAGCAACGACGTAAATTAAATATGACAACCATATACGACAATGTGATATCGTCAAATGGCCAGAAGCGAGGCTCAAAAGGTAAAGTTGGATTTTAGTTATTTTTCTTCATTTATTTGTTTTATTATGTTATATCTCTGTTTTACCGAAATATTGACATGCCAACAGCTATTAATTTATTTTCCAGTGCCAAGGAGGAAAAGACTGTGCATGTCAAAAATCGTATGCAGGAACAGAGAAAGACTCCATTTACAATTTCAAGTAATAGATTACACTCAGGTAAGATATGTTCCTACTTTAACTAATTATTATGATTGTTGCTCAAGTTTCAAATAAACATTTCAAACCACATATTGACGGACCAGTATGCAAATAAATCCAGAGAATATCCTTCGTTAGGCATAGTAGAATGACATCGAAAGCCTCCCATCACATGCAAATTAATAAAACATGATCAACAGGTAGCGAAAATATTTCAGGTAAAATGTTCTCTCTATATACTTGGCGTCGATTTTGCACTACCATTTCAGAATTCCTTACTTGTCTCCGAATGTTACGTTTTCTTGGGACTTAATCATCTGTTCATGCTGAATGCCTTTAGTGGATATCACGGGAGTTCGAAGCCAGCCTCGAATGGAAGCCTCTCAAGGCAAACATGGAAGAAGAGAATACAGTCGTCCCTCGCCACTTCGCGCTTCGACTTTCGCGGCTTCACTCTATGGCGGTTTTTTCAAATACCTGTATATTGGGTAATACGAGTGTAATGGCGACTAAAGAGTGTTATTTCATGTCTATTAGAGCCCTCTAGACATGTTATTTTCGCTACCTGTTGATCATGTTTTATTAATTTGCATGTGATGGGAGGCTTTCGATGTCATTCTACTATGCCTAACGAAGGATATTCTCTGGATTTATTTGCATACTGGTCCGTCACAAGGGAAGAACGAGCCGAGAATTTGATGCACTTCGGTCACTGGATCCCCGACTCTCACTCCGAGTCTGTTGATAGGCGCTAGTCGGATCCACGCCGGAGTTCCTGAGTTGAATCTACTTCAAACCAGTTAAAAGTTGCGGTCTCTTCAGAGGGCATGATTCCGGAACCTTTAATATCCACCTTTTCGACCCACACCCGTCGATGAAGTTACCCACAAAGAACAATATTCTGAGAAATGTGTGGGATGTGAGGGTTCAAAGTAGAAAATCAAATTGTAAAAAGGAAATAAAATAGTTTTTTTATGCGATGAATACCATAGGTCTGTAGCGGTCACATTGATACGTTACCAAAACATTACCCTTAGAGGTAATGTTTTGGTAACGTATCAATGTGACCGAATGTATACCGCAGAAGGGCGCCCATGATCCTTCGGAAAGTCCGAACCCAAGGTAAACAACATAAACCCCTAGGAGAAGCTTTTCTTCCTCCACCCTGTCCTCTTCGCATCTTCAGACTGACGGACCAATTTTCAATGGCGGCCATCGACGCCATGATACGGCGGAAAGGAATGGAGCTAGTCACATTTCGGAAGAAAAAAAAGTTTCCTGGGGAAAGCATTCCTTTCTGGATTTAACACGTGCAAACGTGTTAAATCTCATCGTATCAAGTCGAATAGACATAAATGATACTGATAACAAATGTGATTAAGAATCGGGCAGATGGCCGAACTCGATCGAGGAGGAAACTGTTCAACGCCTCATTTATGTGCCTCCTTCCTATCGATGAGACAAATATACGGTTCTCTCTCGCAGTATGAAGATAGGAATCATCACGTATGGAATGAACGGTGTTTCTTCATGACATATTAATAATTCCTTTCGCTTTGCGCCTGTAACAGGCCTCATCACCTTGGAGACATGGGCATGGAGCTCTGCACGGGAAGAATTCATGTCTGGGTCTTCTTTCGAGAATGAAAATGCGTTGTTGCACTTCCTCCGGGATAATAAATAAAATCTAAAACGGTTTACGTCGAATATCATGGCATTCGAAGATTCAAAATTATTCACAACGGTCTTTGAAACCACAAATTCTGCGTCGCGTGACTGAAAGATGAGTCACCCGAATTTTTCATATTTGAGATCATGAGTGAGGCATGCATCACGAAATTAATCATTTTCACCTTTCTACAGTAATTTGATTGCCTGCAGGAGATTGCATGGTGCAGAAGCGGAAGATGATGCTTCGACGTTTGGACTTGGTGCAAATCTTCCTAATAGGAGGTTGCAGGTTTCTATCGTGCCGACCGACCGGAACGGACGACCCGCGCTGACGAAAGATGTTACGTGAGCCTTTCCCACGTGACTAGGATGTATGCCCTGTATGAGCCGCTTTCCCTCCACTTGGCCAGCAAACGGGATCGGGGGAGGATGAAGCAACTGCTTTGGTTCCTCGTTTGGTTCGTCTGGGGGGCGATGGGGACCATCACGACTCAGCAGTTCTTTGCCCCCCAGAACTCGAACATGAAGATCACGTCGCCGATTCGAGAGCTTCTTGTTCTTTCGGAGCTTCAGTGCGCCATGGCTTGCAAGCAGTGAGTCGCCCGCGACTTTTCTCGGGATAAATGCCCTTTAAAATTCATTGGAATTAAGTGCTTGAGGGCTGTTCGAGTTTCACAGTGCCGTTTCCTATTGAAAAGATCTACCGTAGTTGGATTTTGAAACACGTGGACGTCCCTCCCTTCAGGCCAAAATCAACTTGACGGAGGATATCCATTTGCTTAAAAATCCACCCACGGAAGATATCCACATGATTCGAAGCACACCAACGCCAACGAGCAACCGGATATCCACCGACTGGCATATCCACCTAGTTCCAAATGCGTTTCGCATTCACCCTGCCATTCAGCCCAGTTGGTTGCGTTGCCCCTTTGGCAAGGGTCGCGTAGACATATAAGGAGTTCAGGAATGTAACAACTTTCCGGGAACTTTAAAACTGGTTCTTAAGCTGGTGGTTTTCCATTTCCGGTCTGCGAAAGCCCGACGACTCGCATCGCTCACGGAGTTCTTGTATTTTATTGCTTTAAAGTTAAGGAAAAGCAATTTCTTGAATAAGGCAAGAAATTATTCGAAAGCTGAACAATATGATGAAACATTTATGTTTGAAGCTGAAGATTTAAAAAAATTGAGAAACCCTTTAAAATTAATGAATATTGCATTTACTTATCGAATGTGCAACTACAGTCGAACTCGGTTATAACAAAACCTCGGTTGTAACGACGAAAAGCGCCAGGTCCCATGAGGCACGTCTCATTTTACCTCGGTTATAGCGAGAACCTCAGTCATGACGAAGTCCATTCAAGGTCTCACTGACGAAATCGACAACGTTGATGTCCCTAATCAGTCATTCTTGACTAGAATTTCCATCATCGAAATAATTAGCGTTGGCGAGCCATAACTTTTTCTTACCTGGAACCGTCATTCCTTTAGAGTCATACGGACTAGTATGTGAAAAAGTTTCAATACTGCTCATTGTTGAAACGTTGCAATCCAGCTTCTCATTCAAGCCCCTGGAGTCAAGTATGTGATGCCGACGTCTTTGCTGCAATTTATGATGTTAACAATGAATTATTTTTTCCAATTGCGTTGCTTCGTGCGTTATGTTTCAAAATAATCGCCATGTTCCCAGACGTTTCACAAGTATATTGGGTTGTTCTCTGAAAAATGACCGGAATAATCATAATGCCTGGCCATATTTCCGCTACAATAAAGGTAATATGTCCTCTCTGGACTTCCTTGAAAAGAGTCCAATTTTGCAAAATACATTGATTTTTGTTTCAATGTGCCTTTCTGGGATTGAGTGATGGAGAAATCAATCTTTGTTTTCGAGAAGATGTAGCAATGATTCGAGTTTTTCGACAGTTTCAGCCAGGACTCCCTTTTTAGTGTCATATTCCCCCAAGTTACCCTACACCTTCGATGGAGTTGGAAATAGAATGAAACATTAAATTGGAATCACAGTGATCGTTGTTCTTTCAGGAATTCAACGTGCTTGAGCTACTCCGTGACATACAGTTCTGGGAGTTTGATCTGCCGCTTCGGATACCGATACGACGAGCCGAGGGCTGCCGATGCAGATAGCAAGTTCTTTTACAGAGATGTGCCAGCAGGTGAAGGAATTTTAAGAACCCTCACATTTCCTGTTGGGGAATCTTTGGAAATGCAAATGATGAAGATCCGCCTTTTCCATCTTAAATTGTCTGCATGGTTTTTCTCCCCGTTGTCATCGGCCGCTAGAGGAATCAATTATTAATCATCTCTTGCATTGCTTTAATACCATCATGACAAGAATGGCGTCAATCTCTTTCTCCTATGAAAAAAAATATTTCAATTTATTTGTTTAAACATTTTCCTGACAATTCACCCTTGAAAACGTCGATGTTACCCAAGCTATAGGAATTTCGGGTTGGAATCGAACGATGCAAAAATGCATAAATGGACTTTAGATGATGGATACCTTTATTTTAAAACGTTTTCTGCCACCATCCTACATGTGATCAGGTGCTCCTCCCTTCCCCGTTTTTCTTAGGGTCAAAACAACCGATAGAGAAAGCTCGTGTGACCGACCAACATACCTCGTACGTTCGAGAACAAGGAAACGTTCATTGAGCTACCATCTAATGACTGAAGAGTGAACTACGTCGTCTAACAAATAGAGAGATCTAACAAAATGAGAAATCTTCGCGCCTGTTTTTCTTCGACCTAAGTGGGAACCGGTAACCTCAACTTGAAAAAGCTTATCTGTCCAGAAAAGATTCATCCGAATCATTCTCGCCAAATAGTTTCGATGTTAGTTTCTTCACCATTCCATTAAGTGAAATGATTGACTTTTCTGGAAGGATACAACCTGGTGCCGGGTACGAGAAGTTACGTGAAGATGACCGTGCAGAGCATCCCAGGATCTAACACCGCGACGGCGTGCAAGAATGAAGGCAGTCTCCTGGTCTCCTCCACTGACGAAGCGGTGCACAACTACACGAAGCAGCTGTGGGCCAATCGACCGTCTGGGAGCAATTTCGTGGTCGGTGGGGTGAGCGTCGCGAACCGGAACACTTGGATATTTCCAGATGGTGAGTCTTCTCCCGTAGTCTTCGTGTGGCGAGCCCAGATCTCAGGCGCTCATGCATTTGAGCGATGATCCTAAAATAATTTCACCCATTTCTTCATCGTGCTCTGGGAGGAGGGGTACTCACTATGGCCTTGGGTCCCCAAATATCGAAGAAATGATATATGCCCTTAAAGAGATCCATTAAAAATGCATCGATAAAAAAGCCTCATTATGACAAAATTATGGATTCCAGTGGTTGTTATTAATGCTGCACCACTTTATCTATTAGGAATTAATACATCAGCTTAGTGCATCAGCCTGATGCTTCCTTTTTTCTATTTTCTGTCAATCTAAACGACAAACAGTTTCAGAGTGACTTGAAATATATCATCTCGGCATTGCGCTGCAGTCATTCGACGGCGAGGCTCAATTGTTTTTTGAGGCATTCAATAATGGCCCAAAAGGGAAGGGTCTTGAGAGGAAAGGTAAAAGAAATTTGCATCAGTCATGACACTCTCTTAATCCTACACTCCTCTGGCTTTCGGCATGTTTTCTTTTTGAGCCTTCATTCTTTGCCTGTGAAATTCTAATTGATTTATTGGCACACTGCTGCGAGCTAACTTTCACCAAAACCGGTTAACTTCATGGTGGACCTTTTATAGGTGATGAGGGCATATATGTTGAGTGTCTAGATTATGATGAGAAGAACCTCTTTTGCACATCATATACTGAATAATAAATATATTACCTAAGCCAAATTACTATCCATTGCCCGAAGTTCAATGAATTTGACAATGACCCGAAGTTTCTGTCCTCGAGTAACCCAAGATGACCTAGAATTATCCAGACCGACAAGTAGGTATTAACCCTACTAGATTCACATCATTCTATTGACATGAGGCTCCTGTCAGTCCATTTAAATTAAGTATTGTTGGTACGCTTAATTAGTGGCTACTGATTTTTTAAATACATTTTTGGCCCGATGAGAAAGCGTTTCTTTATTCCAAAAGCTGAACGTCATTTTCAACACCTGATGCAATTTAGGTAGCCATCGTTCCCAAGTGTAAAACCAATATAAAAAGGGGGTGATGCAATGATGCCAAAAAATATATTTAACAGTAATCCAGCGTACCTACTATTTATACGTGAAGTGATGAAGATACGACATTCTTTCGATTTCTTGTTCGAAGGTTGCTCTTTTCATCAGACCTCGTAAGATATAACCGGATTGGTTGGAATTATTTCCGCTCTGAAAGCTTCCTCTTTTGCTTTCCAGGCACCAACCTGACCGTCACCGGATTAGGTCAAGCTGGCTTTTGTTCATCCGAACCCAATGGTGATCCTGGCTATTGCCTGCATTTTTGGGTTCACGACCCCTTTCCTTGCTGGGCTGATACTCCTTGCAGTACAATCTACGACGGATACATCTGCGAAATCAAAGTACCGGATTGATACATACTCAAGAAGCCAGTTGTGATATCTGCAGACAAACGCGAGACGAAATATTTTCTTGTCGTTGATTGATGAATTCCATGCACGATGTTCTGGTTACTTTTCACGTCTTGCACGCAAGGCAAATTTGATTCCTTTCGGAGCCCATGTTATTGCCATCTCATTTGGGCTTTAAAATTCAGACATTAACCATATCAGGCAATTTTCATTGGAGAAACTGCCAGTTGATAAACTTCTTCATGGATCGCTAACGCATTCAGATTAAATTGAAGAAAGGCATTTTGCAATTTCTACTTGGAGAACCAAGACGGTCTTCAACATCTCAGATATTTTAAACGTGTGGATAAATACTAGCAATGTAAATCAATGGAGTTCAGCGCGTTCAGCGCAATGCAGGAACGGTGTGAACCCAGTTTTGCCTAACAGGAATACTCGTGAATGAACATAAAACACAAGACGCATATATGCTTCACAAATATTGATATTTCACATATCCGTTACTCGTCATCCTTAGCACGTCATCAAACACTGGGTGGACCACTTGCTAAGCGCGTATAATTCACAACTGCTTCACACTTTTCATACCTGATTCGCCTGCATGTACTGTACCAGCGGCTTTTTTGTTTTAAGTGATGGGCAATAACTATTCTATTCTTTCTGTATCCTTTCCCTGTCGTAACGAGTAGAGGGACCTTGCACGGACCAGAGGGGCACGCCTCAGGCATCGCTGAACTGACTGAAAACACAGCTACTGGGTGGTTAATAAAAACAGTTAATTTTGGCTGTTTTCCTAGGTCTCTATCCGGTTTTCCACGCTTACCTTGCACTCTGTGCAACGCTTTTAGTCAATATACCGCTTAAATAATGGACATGTTTCTTATGCTATACACATGCTTTAAATTGTTTGCTCGTAGAGGATGAAAATGAAGTTGCACTTTGAACAGGACCTTTGAGCATGGTTGCTTATCTACTCTTTGCTTTTAGTGCTTCGATTGAATGCATTTTGTTATGAGGATGTTCGGCGAAAATACATTTTCACCGAAACTCAACGGATTCTCTGGTTTCCTTTGAATTCGAGAATGGCATCCTCGGAAGAATCGCAAACTCCATTGCATTTGATGGAAAAACGTGAGAAGTCATTCTTCAATTTTGCCAGACAATTGTGAAAATTAATCAACTCGCAATTTAATATTAATTAATTAAATTCTCATTCGGGAATTGCTCCTGCGAGTTAAACCATTGTTGCGTATCCTCTGCTCGTTTTTTTTTATTACGAAACAAATAGGTCATTCTCAACTGAATAAGACTTTCATCCAGTCAATTGGTTACTATTTGGCAGCGGTACTTCGAGAAAGTTCCAAAAAGAAAGCAACTTAGAGTCTATTGATTTCACATCTTCACCCTTCGCATTCTCTTGCATAACGAGCCAACCTCTTTTTTTATATTGCTGCCTTTCCAGGTCCTCCCTTGTTTGCAGGGTGATGAAGGGTGAATTAGTGGAATAAGTGCGCGTCTCCCTATCAATTGGTGGCAAGGCCTTGTTCCGAAAGTTCCACATGTGAAAGAAAGCGCTACAACCACCATGCGGCTCTTCATTTTCCTCATCATTTCCTGTTATACCCCAGACCTTAAACGAGCTCAGCTTCTTGCAATAACGGTCCTGCTTTCATCATGATGCTGTAATGCCTCTGGAAACGTTCGAACCTTTGAGAAAGTTGAGAAGCAACTAGCAAATGAGCTTCGTAACTAACATTGCTTTGCATCGCTTTGAGTTTAAGACATTTAAGCAGTCGATAGAACCAAGTAAAAGACGTTAATGGAACGCTGGGTTCAATGAAACGCTGATTGAACACGTTCGGGTGCTACGGGGGTATTAGTCTCTCAAGATCATGATGATTCCTTCCATGACAATAGAGCACTTCGTTTCCTCCGATTTACAGCAGGTTTACTCCCCACTAGTAAATGTGGTTAATTCAAACATACACTCCGCTTCAATTTTAGTGAATTTGTTTCATCCAAGATATATAGGCGCAAGTGGGTTCAATCGGACTTTTGGGGTCACTTTTGGTCATCATGGGTCACTCAGTATCACTCGGGGCCACTTTGACCGGATGTTAAATTAAGGGAACTGAGGAGTTCCAGAACGTGAGTTCCATGCAATCTAGGCTGGATATAATCCACATATTTCCCTATGATTACTAACTTTTGTTCCAATCTTTATATTTGATGAAGCATTCTGCACTTGAGAATTGATTGGGTCTCTGTAGTTCTCAGCTTGACGTTCAAAGGGAGACTTGACTTATAGTGCCTGGAAGGTTGGATGGCAAAGTTACACGTGAGTCCCACTCAAAAGAAGCCAAGGAGATTGAGGAATTTATTGGGCCTGAGTTGCACTTCCTGGATACGCCCTAGGGAAGGAAGTCGACATCCCGGGGAGGCAAAGGCTTACTGTTCGGCCACGTCTCAGACGCTATCATGACCCATTATGAATGGACCTCGACGAATACCTTGAAACTATCATAGAAACCACGAAACGTGTGGAA